ATTAGTGTATATATATTGATGATTTTTTGGTGAAATATATACTTTATTCGAATCTCATTACTAAATCTTTTGTACAAATAATATAATCTTGTTATTATCTCTTTTAGATAGTGGGTAATTGATTTACTATTATTCTCTGGTTGTATTATTATATCTTTTAGTATAATAATCTTTTATTGCTGTATAATATTCTTTTTGTGTTTGGGGTTTTTAAATGTATTTATAAATAAATTGCGAATCTTTTAAATCAATTCTGGTATAGTTTTTAGATTTGTATGATAAAAATCAAGTGCTCTGCTGATAAGTATAGTAGGGAATATTTTTAAAAACAAATTATCAAATATATTAATATATTAGTAGTTATTGAGGAATATATTATATTTGTAGATGAAATTATTATTTTATTTATTGTATTTATTCTTTTTATTATAAAGTTTTGTAAGGTTTTTGAGAAGGTAATTAAAATTTATAACTTTTGATAATGAATTTGAAAAAATCTCTGGAATATTGTAATTGTAATCTGAATTACCTCCTCCTTTTTCTCCTATACTACCTCTACCTCCATTGTTGTTATTTTTATTATAATCATCTTGTAAATTTCTATTATAATTATTTTATAAATTCCCATCATAACCGTTTTATAGAAAATTATTTTCTTTACCTCTATTATTTTCTCCTTTTTTTTTTTTATTCGAATTATTATTACTACTAAATAAATCACCAAATGATTGATCACCTCTTTTTTATAATAATAGAAGTAATTGTAATAACAGAAATTTAGGTTGTTAAGGTATTTCAGATCGAAACTATCCATACAAAACCAATCACAAAAGTAATAGTTTTTTTTATTTGTAAAATAAATATACAGATAAATTAGGTTCACTATTTTTCTATAAAAAATTAGTATTAAATTAAGAAACAAATCTAGAATAATAGAATACTAATAATTTTAATAATACTTTTTGTTCAATATCAATACCTTTTCCTTTATTACCTAATAGACTGAATCCTAAAACTATCGCGATTTGAAATAGAATACTTAATATTTGCAATAACCTATATTAATTGAAACCTGATAATCCGGACTAATCGCTTACTTAAAATACCTCAAATTCTTTTAATAATACATATACAAAAACTTGAATATCTTTTTTATTTATTTTCTTCTATATACTTTTTAATCAAAATATAAATCCCTTTTTTACAAATATATTTATAATCTTTTTATCTAACCACTCTCTATATAATAATCAAATTACATCAACTAAAGTATTATAAATAGATCGTATCATACAAATCTCATACTTTACAACAAATATACTATATAAATATAATTCGTATCTTAACTTATATAAAAAACATATATCAATTGCTTTAAAATATTCCGAATTGAAATATTCGAATTCGCAAAAATAATCCAACCATAACTCGTCATCATAATACTTCAATTATTAATATTCGTAAAGTTTATACTTATAAAATTTCCTGATCTCTTTCATACCTACTTGCTCTATAAAATCAATCAGATTGTTTTACTATCTCTCAACCATTATGTCAAAATTATTAGTTATAATAACTAATAATATAATAAACTCTATTACACTTCTAATATCGTCCTTACATTTAGGCTTATATTTTGTAAAGTTGTTTTTGTAAGATCCTACCATATTAACAAATAACAGATAGATAATAGAATAAGATAAAATAAAATACTTAAATATAACTTTACCAAACCTAGCAAAGTTGTATCTATTCATAAAAGATAATACTTAACTTGAGCTAATAACTACTAATTCATACTCTTCAACACATATTATTTCGAAGAATAAAATATAGATTAAAATTGAATATAAAAGTTATCACTACATTACTAATTAAATTTGTTTATCAATATTAAATTATATTAGATTAATACTGAATATAAGAATTATTACTACATTACTAACAATCCTTATTCACACAAAAACAAATATCAAACCACATTACTTTAATACAAAAGCTTATACCTTTTCAGAGAAATATTAATCTTAATCACAAACCCATATTACATTTGAAATTAAAATATCAGATTTCTGATCTATAATATCACTAATCAATATTGATATTACTATAAAAATAATAAAGTAATATAATACTAATAATTTACACTATTATAATATTGCTTAAGATTCTAAAAGCTAAAGGCTACGAACATATATGCTATAGTGCGGGGGCGCTAGCGCACGCGCTAGCGCGGTCACATGATCCCTGTCCCAACAATATCATATCTCCAGAGTTTTGCATTTCGATTTCTTTAATCTATAAATACTTAATCTTATCATTAATACTTAAAATAGAACTAACAATACAAATCATATCAATAATAATTTTATATTTATCAAGAAAAAACAAGATTAAGCTTTAAAAGAGTAATTTATCTGTATACAAAGCTCCAATTAAAGTATCCACAGATAAAAGCTTTTTTCAAAAATCCTTAAGCTTATCCCATACACCTATAATAATTATATTAAAAGTATTATCAAAAAAAAAGATCTTAATTTTAAGGAAATACTCGTTTGTTGCTATATTATCAATTCTAAAGTATTTAATAGTTAGATAATCCTAAAGTTTCTTTATTATATTATATTTATTTATTAAAACCTTATTATTATCAAATAATAAATAATAAATATAAAATAATATACTAATATCATCCTTAAAAAAGATAACCTTTTTGTTGATATTGAATTGAATCTTTATTATAACACTACCACTACCACTAAAAACTTAAAGTTTTTCGAAATCCTTAGCTAATCCATCAATATTTGTAATCTATATATATTTCTGTAATGTTTTCTTATATACATAAAATCAGTCTTTTTCTCAAAATTGAATTCTTATTTAATAAATTCAGTATTTATAATTTTCTTAAATAAAAAAAAGAATATACTTAGAATAATTCTTAGATTTAATATCTTTATTTATTTTGAGGTTTTATAAATAAAAGATTTATATCAATAATTTATATATATTTTAATAATAAAATAAAAAAATTGAAAAAGAAAAAAAACTATTTTAATTAAACTCCCCCAATTTTGAAATTAGTATTATAAAGAGAAATTCTTTTTAAAATAAAATAATTGAAAATAATAAATTTTGATTTATAAATAATAATTTTTAGAATGATATTAAATACTATATAATTAATAATACTTTTTAGTATTAAACCAAAATAAATAATTCTTTTAATAATAACTCATAGTTTTCTTATTTGAAAAAAGGATATGATATAATTGATTATTTTATTATTATATTTAAAAAAGAGGTATAATATAAATAGTTATTTTACTATTACTATTCAGCAATCTATTTACTGTATACATTTTGTATATTGATATTATATTATATAAAAACTTTTTATTGTTAATCTCTATTTTGATAATATAAGCTATTTAAAAAGCTTTTAGTCTTAGTTTTATTGTAGAGCTACCAGGCTTATAACCTATTCATAATAAAGGAGTAAACTAGTGAAATACATATAATATTAACTATATAGATTAATTGTACTAAGGTAAAATCTAATTATGAAGTGGAAATGATATATGCACAGTAGCGTAGTGTACGTGCTACAACTTCCAATAATAGGCTGTAATATTGAAATAGAAATGAAAAAAATAAAAACAGGTTTTTCTTTTTCCTTTTTCTTATTACTATATAATTTGAATTTATAACAATTCTGTTTAATAATCTACTTTATAATTTATATATATAAAGGGAAATTAATGGTTACATTATTAGTTTTTCTAATAATATACTTTACTTATTTAAGTTACTTATTAATAGATATTATATAATAATTTTTAATATTAGAAATCTAATAACAACAATTAATATTAAAATATTTATATTCTGAATATCTCTAACACTCTAAAACCTTTTTTTAAAACTCCTCCACCTTCAGATTACCCTTTCTTTAAATATCCATTCTCTTCAACTATTTCTTCATTATAATATTATATCCTATCCACTTCTCGTTATCTAACTCGATCTCTAGTTTATTATTATTATTATCCTTACCCTCATCTGAATTTGAATTTAGTTTTATATATCGAATATATTTCTTTTTAGAATCTAAATTCTTATCAATAAAAAATAGAAATATATTTTTTAGAATAAATATAATAAATTTTTACTCTAATAATATTCTAATACTTTTTATTAAAATGTTTTTATATATAAAGATTATAAAGAATATTCTTTTATTTCTTTTTATTAAAAATATTATTGAATTTATTTCTATTTCTTTTAACTGGTTTTGTATAAATCACCTATTATTATAAAATTGGTTTATTTTTTATAGGTATATATCTAATATCTATTTATTTATTTCTTTTTATATATCACTTGAAAACTTATTAAAATTCTTTTAAAAAGGATTATTAATATTGAGAGTCTTATAAATTACAAAGATTGTTTTTTTATTAATATATTATTTGAAAGAGAATTGATAGAATATATTATATATTATATTCTTTATTTTAAAATTAAAAGTAGATTTATATAAAGGAAATTTATTTTATAATATTAGTATATTAGATAAAGAAAAGCTAATCTTAAAAAACTCTAAAAAAAATTATAAAAAAAGTAAAACTAATAATAAAAGCAGTAAAAACTCTTTTATCTTTTAATATACTCTTTTAAGGTTTTATAAACTTTGAAAAAGATTTCTTAAGCTTTTTAAATAATGAAATAATAATAATTAAGTTGAAAGGGGATATTTGCTTTTTATTTAAAACTTTTTTGCTTGATTTTAAAACTTTAGTAAATCTCTTAAAAAGAGAAGTAAGTAAATCCTCCTATTCAGTAAAGCATTTAAGTTTTCTAGTCGTCACAATCATTTTGTATTAATTATTTATTAAATTAAAGTAGTAATAATAAAGATATAAATAAAATAATATATTTTAAAAAGTTAGAATATATATTTGAACAGAAATCATATAAGCATTAAAATTTAAGGTTTTGGAAACACGTTATTAAATTGGGTGTATCTAATCTAATCTAATCTTGAATATTTTTCAAAACTACCACTACACGTCCCGCGTCCAACAAACTTTTTGATTCGTCGGCGCGTCATATCCATATTCATTTCAATGTCTCATCGAGTGTATATACATTTATCTTCTTAGCTTCTCAGTCCTAATGGTACAACTATTCTCGGACCATTTACTGAACCATCCCTCAGTCTATCAAGTGCTGCATTTATGCCTTGTAACCCACCATGTGCGACTTCAATTTCAGGAGTCGCTATTCTATTTTGCTCGAATAGTCTTTCCAACCAAATCATCAATCCTTCACCGATATTCGGTGCCTCATGAAATGTCTTGATGGGAACCGAATGATATAGCACTCCTGGAGTTGGTTCCTTTGGCAACCCGGTCAAGCCAACAAGATGCGCTCTTTTCCCTTCAAGTCCATTCTCTGAACGCATGGTTTGTGCGAGAAGGGCTGTACTCTCTTTCCCTCTCGTATCAAGTCCAAAGCGGAGTTTTCCCTTTGTGATACCTTTGACGATGGATATCGCCCTTTCAGTGTCAAAACGATCCACCAAGAGATCTGCACCATGTTTCAACATACGTTCACCACTTCGGGCAACGTCTATCACTGCAATAACTCTAAGTCCTGCCAGTTTTGCAAGTTGGACTGCGCAACACCCAGTAGCAGATGAACCTTACAACCGTTAGCATTTATCAAAAGTCTTACAGAGATTGCCTCACCTCCCCAAATTGCTATCCAGTCCCCAGGTTTGGGCCTCTCATCTTCTCGGATACTATCAAAGCATTCTGCTCTCACATCATGTGGAATGGAATCTCTAGATATGGATCGGATTGCCTGGAAAAGATCTGGCCCTTGAATTTTACCCTCATCATTGGCAAAATTTACTCCCAAACATATACCTAACCCAAGAGCTGCGGCAACAAAGGCAACGCCAAGTGGTGCGGCATTGATTGGACTTACGGTACTTGGAAGCCTGCAAGCATTGAAGTCCGAAACGATTGCATATTGTTGATACGCAGCTTTCCGAGAATCTCGATAATCAGTGGAAATTCCCATAACCTAGAACTGTTAGCAATTACTTTACTCAGCATTCATAGATTCTTACAGTATCTCCAGGTTTGAATCTCGAATTTACTTGGGTTGATTTTACCACCTTTCCAGCAAAGTCTCGGCCACTTATACAGGGGAGAGAAGGCAGTCCAAAGCCAAAGTCGCTATTATGAATGGTTAATTAAATGATATCATTTGCTATCAATACACGAAATAATACTTACGGAGCTTTCCAGTCGATTGGATTCAAACCAATAACTTCCACTGCAACAAGCATTTCTCTGTCATTACTTAAGGAAGGTATCGGTTGCTCTGCTGCATGGGTGTATCTTTGCTTTGCGCCATGCAAGAGTAAGACTTCTTGATGCGACACATTGTTTAGGTTCGAATTATGAATTGAATCGGATTCCTGGCGGGGAACTTCTGTCTCGTGGTGCAAATAGATACCCTCGGGCTCACTCTCTGGTTCAGGCCAATTGTGAAAGACCTTCTGATACCCATAAGATTCCGGAGTCTTTGGGGGTGTTATTGCCTGATTGACAGATGCCGGTACATATGTTTGGGTTGAAGTCATTCTCTTTTTCGAAGAATAGAAGTTTGTTGAATTGTTTCCTGCTCAATCCAATCGCTCAAAGTTCGACAAAGTTGAGTATATCGACGATTTCAGTCTCACTTGAATCATCTTCTAATTTCGTTCTGGTTCCTTGTGAATTCGGAATAATGGATACATTGTCACGCAATATTTAAGTTCATTATTTGCCAATCGCTATCAAAACCGAGGTTCGAGATTCGTTCACTCCAAAAATCATAGCCAATCTTCGTTATTGCTATGTACATGATCTCCCTTATCATAATGTGTATGAATATGCGGAGGTGATGGCGTGACGCACTAAATACCTCTAATTGTGGGTCTCCCCGTGATGTTCAAAGTTCAAACACGGCAGATTGGAGTTAGAGCCAGAAAAGGCATCTTATCTTATCAAACACAAATTCCTGCGATTTACTTTGAGCAAATTGTTGAAGAGTGTTTACTCATTTATCGCTTTGGCTAGAATACATCTTCACTACAGACGAAACAATAATTTCCAAAGACTGTGCGATACGAAAATTCAACCCGCAGGAGGACCACACCGGTATAACAGAAAAGCCTACTTTCGTAACTAGTAAGAGAACACAACTCGTCACCTCCCTATAAGGTTATGCACCTCGTACACTTTTTCCTCAAAGTAAAGCGAAGGTTTCTCGGACAATTTGATCATCACTTAGACCTCGAAAGACTGTCGAACGAATAATCTGCAAATCCGGAAGTGCTGCAAGTTCTCTATCGATTTCCTCAACTGGACAGAACACCTTGTGATTTTATCATTAATGTTGAGTGCCCCTGGATAGCAAGATTTTGATATTTACTTTTATCATACGCACTACGCAGATCGCGTTCTCCATGAAAGCTGTTATCTGGGTGTAGCATCGGTGCGTTCAGTGGACTACCATGTTGAAGAACATTTCACCTGCTTCTACCACAATAGAAAAAAAGACAACGACTGTTAGGTATATCTGATTTGAATGGTCGTCTTTTTTCTTATACACATTTTTTGTGTTCATTTCTATGTCGTTGCTTTTTCTGCGACAATTTCAAGCTCATCCAGCGTCTCTTCATCCCCCAGTTGCTTCATTCTTTATTATGAGCTTTGCAGCCAGATTTGTACGCGGAAACACGTTTTTCGTTGATATCGTTTGCATACGTCGCACATACTTAATGCGTGCAATGGGTCAACCGACTGTGCATTCAATTGTTGGTGGTAGCTTCCTTCTGTAAATTCCAGCTTGTTCTCGGGTGGAAAGTTACACAGCATTGTTGGAATTTCCTTCACCCCTAGCCTTGAAACAACAAGTTATTCGTTGGCATATTATAGGTAGTCAGTTTTGTCCCTTGGTGAAGACCAATCGACATGATAAAGTAAACAGATCATTTCTGTGACACTTTTCCTCGAAGTTCGAAGCACTGTTCTATTCTTTTAAGCATAACTTATTCTTGAGTGATAACCCCCCTTTTAGGATTTTGTTCCAGCATTTACACCGCTGCGGAGAAATCAATAACTTCCGAGGCACATTGCAAAGTTGACAAATTGAATGGAACATTGCCGCCCCAGTGGGTAACTGGTGACGATGCATCATTACCAGTTTTTGTTCTGGAAGTGTTCCCAAGTTTTGGATTGTCGGCAAACGTTTACCAAGGTATGGGAAACATTATTGGAGAATCGGACAATAGGGAAATTGAGCCTTTCAATGCCAGACACACTAGTGGTGGATCAAGTGGAGAACACTCGGCACTTTGGCTCAAGCTTCATTGTTGCTTCTATTTTCATGGATTGGGAGCCCCTAAGGTTGCAGGACGACGGCTCTAGTTGACCAAATAGTATTTCCTTCGCCAATACGTTCACATGAAGTAACATATTGGCCAGAACAATAGCAGTCGAGAGTAGGAAACCTTATTATCCACAAGGGTTTGCTCCGCGACCTTACTGAGAATGTCACCAAAATAAATTAAATACTCGCTAAACGATTCTCCGTCGGTAGGTTACATGAAACAGAAACATGGGGTCTTGTGGGTCCGAAATAGCCAAGAGCAATGTATCCAGGGCTCCAAGTGGCACAAAGGTGTTTATGTCCGACAACCTCTTGAACTGTAAATACGATATTGGAATTAGATGTTACGGAGGTTGTCAGTGTAAGTATTGTAAAACACACTAAAAAGCGGCCGAGCTTTTCCCTACATACAGAGGTTTTAGCCAATAAAAACCTTACGTTTTTTAAAAATTAATATAGTGAATTCCAGACAATAAAAGTATTATAAAGAATCTCTTGAGAATAAAAAAAAGTATCAATTTTATTAATATTTAATATATATATTATTAATATTAATAATTATCTAATATCTATTTTTTACATTCTTAAATAAATTAATTAAATATTTATACAATATAGCCTCTTATACTTTATTAACAGTTTTCCTAAGCTTATTATAGGTTATCTTATTATATAAATAATAATCCTAAATTCAATCTTTTATCTTATTTTATATATTCTCAATAAAATTAAGATTTAAACTAAACACCAGCTATTTAATCTTTTCAATATCTTTTTTAATGAAATCCACAAAAATAATACCAGCAGTATACTCAAGAACTCCATTCTGTATAAATATATATCCTGAATATATATTTATTCAATTATTAATAATAGAAATAGTATAAACTTAATATAATTTAATATTAATAATACCTTAATTCTTTTCTCAAAATAAGTCTAATCCTTTACTTGCTTTTTCTAAAAAATAGTCTTAAAATATCTACTCAGCTTTCTTACACTCCCTTTCTAATATATATATAAAATCAAAAGCTTCATTAATATAACATATAATATATATTTTATAATAAAATCCTACTATCACCTATATCTTATCTGATTATAGAATAGTATTCTATTATTTATCAATCCAATCGAGATATTTTAATACAAATTGAAAATAAATTAAACAATTGGTTTCTAAAATAAAAGACTTTCAAAAAATAATATAGTATTTATAATCTATTCTTTTTAACCCATTTCGAATTATAGATTCATCTATTTCAATCTATTCTAATTCAAGAACCACTCTCTAATATAATATTTACCTATATATTTTAAAAAAGCTAATAAATTCGATAATTTAATTAAACTAAAAGATTGATAAAACTAATATCCAGTCAAATCGTTTTTTAGGTATTATATATATAGAGTATATATAAGCTACTTGTCTATAATTTAAATTAATACTATTTTGAAGAAAATACTTTTATATCTTTATAATTTTTCATCTAGTTTTAGAAAGAATATATATTTTAATATATTAATCTCTAATCATTTGATATCGAACTAAAGTTTCCGATATTAATAATATAAAAAGAGACAAAATAGATTTAATAAATGAGAAGATTGATATCAAAGATGATAATGATAATATATAATCAATTATTTTGATAATATCGATATATGAATTTTGATAAATTTCAAGCTTAAATATTATCAATATTAAAAAGATTTTTATAAGGTTTTCAAAAATACTTAAAAGTACTAATTTTATTTAGACTTATTAAAACAATACAAAAAGAAACAATTCAACCTATTAAAACCCCTAAATTCCCCCTTACAGGGGCATATAGGGGAAATTAATGTCTTACACGACTTATACTGACAATCTCCGTACAGATATAAAAGTATCGTCAACTTCACTACTTCCTCAACTCTTCATTCCAAAATTGCCACAGTCTTTCATTTCGTGCCCTTAATCACTAGCAAAATCTTTTCACTCATTTCAATAATCACTCATTTATTCTTCGTCAAACATGTATACCTCGACCATCCTCACTACCGCTCTTGCAGCTGCCGTCCAAGCTGCACCAGCTTTGCTTCGCCGCGACAGCTGGGGAGGTGCACTTTCTCTTGGTCCTACGACCTCTCACATTCTCCATTCCACCACTACTCTCATTCCGGGAACCGCACCTTCCACTCAAAATGGCGAACTTTTCCTCTGGCCAGGTATGTCTAACGGTACTGGCGATCTCATTCAAACTACTCTCGAATCCTGGCCTTCCAACGAATGGTGTGGTGCCACTACGGGGCAATGGTGTGTCCGCGCTTCTCTATTCGGCTGGTTCGGACAACTCGATGGTGTAGGAGCTGCAGTTTCTGGAACCGATCACGTTTTGATTGATTATGGATACAACGCTACCTCTGGCAACTGGACACAAACTGTCACGAATGGAAAAACCGGCGCAGAACTAAGTTATTTCTCTTATCCCTCGGGCCGTATGACGGGATGGGGAACCGGCACAGAATGCGATGACGATTGCACGGGTACAGTTGCCAAGCAACAATATGTCAACACGACTATCACGCTTGCATCTGCGGATCCAAACTTCGGAGCTACTTTGGGAGTTAGTCAGGGAACTACATACACTGGTCTTAAGAGCGAGCAGGGAGGTTTGATCTGGAAGATTGCAGAGATTAACGTTCCTTCTATGTCTTAATTTGTGGAGGACCATACCTATGTAGGAATGGAGGATGTGGAGAAGAAAAGGGGAGGATTAGTAGGAGTTTGATTCTTGTATTTATTTGATGGTAACAAGGCCATCGTGGATCATTGTACATACCTTTTGATTAAAACGGATCCGTGGGACACATCTATCTTTCCCAAAACAACCATTTGGCGAACTTGAGAAAAGCCTTCAACAACCATATCTACACCTTTTGTAGCAGACCCCGGGAAATTTACCCGCCATCTTGATTTTCTCTAGACATGATACTCATCGGGATAGTTTCCCGAGTCTCCATCCATACACTATCTATACCTACCAACTTCAAACCAAAGCGAAGCAACCATGAAGCCGTAAAGCCATAATCTCAGCACTAACAAAGTAACAGCCTGGACAAAGCCCAGATATGAAAAGAACAAAGCGCTACTGGATTTCTGCGTTTTTCGCCAGGCATTTGTAGACATCGTCGGTGGTCAAAAGCATTCGCAGTTGAACCCTACACTGATGTTTCGGCGTGTTGCATTGGCGCAATTGTCATCACGGTGGCGCTTTCTTCAAGAGATATGGGCTGTCGAATAGTATATCTTTCATTACCACCCAAGCAGATATGCTAATGTGCACATAGCGTCAAGTTTCCTGCCATATCAAGAGGAGGATAGGATATACAGTTCAACTTTGGCTAGATCAACAGCGTAAAAATCGCTGTTATCACCATGCATCAGCTATTGCAAGCTCTTGCTGACAATTTTCGACAACTACAAGGTTAGGAAATACGGGATAGACCATCCAGAATGCGACACCGACGATAGTAAACATGGAATTCATAACGAACTCTCAAATGCGATCAACGCATTCTGTAAATCGATTAGTAAATCCAGCACTGCGGTAGATATGCGGCATCTATCATAACTACATGCGGAGAACCAAGCTTGATACTGGAGCATGAGTGAGAGGGATGTCAAAGCGTTCTGAGTGTATGGGAAGATTTACCAAGACGTATCGTACCTACTTAGATCAGTTACTGCGCCTCCAGTTCGTGTACTAGATGCTGAATTTATTCGTCAAGGACCTCCTGTCATTGTTAGAGCCAACTGTTTTGTTTGGCTTTGTCATTTGGATTTGTTACCAAGTTCTCGGATCAAAATTGAATCGCGTAATAAGGAAAGTGATTCAGTTTGATAGTTCTAAGCGAGAGGCGTATCATTTGTTTGGATGTGCTACAGTAGGTATTGAGCATCGGTATTGACAACTACCTAGGTAGCTCCTAGCTTCAGATCATCCCGAATCCGCATCCGCATCTGTATTTGATTACAATTAGCTAACTATCCTCATCCATTCTGTCCCATATCATTCTTACAGTTTATCCGTTAAGCCATACATAACATAATTCGAGATACGACTGGTGATTCTCAACATCTAGCTCTGATTAAAGCTAATATCAATGAAATTCAACATGCTCAGCGATCAATATGTCGATATGGATATCTTCAAGACGCCATCCTGCTTCGGATTGTACTTTGTAATATTGATTTATTCCAAAAGAAGTATGGATTGACCCTACCCTAAATTCTAACAACGAAGGGCAAAATTGGTTGTCGATTTGAAGGTGTGGGTAATAATGACAAAAAAAGAAATTGAGACGATACTAATAATGGTAAGAAAACCAACGACGAAGATTTCAAGAGCAAATATACATCGAAGTGAGACTTATGAAGATGATATCGGTTTGGGGAAGGAAACTAGGATGGTATACACAATCAGAAGAGGGTTGCGAGCTTAACTATCTTTAGGAATTGCTGAAGAGTGTAGTAAATGGACCTCAAAGTACAACCCCTGTTTGGAAGTATCATATATTCAAACCTGTGAAGAATGTTTCTGGTAGTTAGAGGCACTTAAAATGGGTGGACCTGTTGCTCCACAATTCCCATATTTATCGTGTGAACGAACTGCGCTGCAATGATATCACGTAGTTGGAGGCTGAGATATTCACACACGTTCCATCCGACTACGGATGTGATTTCGAGTGTTCCTCCCAAAAACGGGGAAACGGTGAAACGATGAGACATACGTTTTAGGAATTCAGGTTTGGTGACTACTATATGGTGAATATAGGCGTATTTAGGACTCGTTGTATATTATTAAGTATGCATACTGTCAGCGGGCCGATTTATCTAGGTATTTAACGGAGTGTATGCAATTCCGTCGTCTAATCTCTTCTGACCGAAATTGTTGATGAAAACTTCGAGTTTTTTCTATGAAGGTCGATCAAAATGGTTTCTTTTGCCATATCGAGTTGTCTACTCAGGCACACATTCTTTCTCTCGAATTGCTTTCAAAACCTTGCACATCATCTCCTCTAGCTGAATTACAGCATAACAACGCCCACTCCACTGCCCGCATCATGAATTCTATTCAACTTATCCACGCCACCTGCGATATTGTTCGCCTTGTAGTTGTACAAATAATAATGTAACTGACCATCGCCGGCTCCGAATTTCTGCTGTTCTAAGAACAAAGTGTTATCCATAAGCGTCAACGCGTTAAAGACATCGAATTTGTATTTCTTGGCAATAATAAGAGCATCATGAACGAGCTCATTGAGACGTTTGCCGAGATCAGCTCTAGATGCTGCTGGATCAAGAGCAAGGGCTGAGGCATAATAAAATAGATAAGCGGCGCGAACGTTAGTGTGCTTAGGGTTGCCAATGACGGATGATTCGAGACAGTAGAAAGAAAAGAAATCAGTGAGTTTCTTCGTCGTGGGGTCCTAGAGGATATGTTAGTTTGTAATTTAATGAGAACCAAATGCTAGAAAATTACCTCGACGACATAACACCAGATGACTTGTTCGGCAGGGGTCTCAATCTTGTTGAAAAGCCAATGTTCTATCTCCTCCCTAGTGAAAACTGGCGCCATATCAAATTTCGCCAGGTACTTTTTGCAAAGTTCCAAGACACCATCAATGTCTTTGGCTTCCATGGGTCTCAATCCTTTAGTGGATGTGTTGGATGGTAGAGCAAATTTACGAACTTGTCGATCTGGCGTACTTCCCGGAGGCAGTGGACTGAATTTGACCTCGTGTAACTTCTTCCAATCCAACGATCGATGGTAATATCTGCATGTACTGACTGGTTTAGGCAACACCACACCAGCAGTGTATATCGCCTGCCATGTTCCTTCTAGGTTACATCTACGTGTGATCTCTTTGATGAGAACGGGCGCCAATCTCTTCGCTCGAAGCTTCTTGTGGATACAAAGGAAGTTGACCTCAGAGGCCTTAAGGGTCTTGTTTCGCACTCGAAGTGCGACTGGGATAGCTGATATAAAGGCTACTAACTTTCCAGATACAGTAGCTCGAACACCAACGTGCCATTCCTTACTCCAACCTGGTGACATGAGTGCCCTAAATTGTTAGTAAAAGCCGCTCTAAAAAAGTTATCCATGTCTTACCATCTGAGGAATGACTTTGAGTAGTTGAATCGAAACATTGCTTCATCATCTTCAACATAGTGGCCATATAATAAATCAAAAACTTCTTGCAAAGCCTCGTCACTTGTCATATCCATTGTAACCCAATGAAATCCAGCTACCAATGGACCTGGTTCTTTAGGAACTTGTTCGACATCAATAATCTTGAATGGACCCTCTTCAATAATTTCAGAGTTTTCTCCAAACTTGGGAACAGGTTGCGTTTGCCAAAACTTGTATGCGCCCATTTCCTTAACGTTCTTTCCACTCGAGGCCAATCCAGTCATGATATCTTCCAAACTAAGCTTTCGCACAGCTTCTGTAGCTTGCTTCGAAGAAAGCTCGCCATCTACAGCACCAAGTTGTTGTGCGAGTGCAGGATTTAATGCGAGGATATCTTGAATTTGAGATTTGCTAAGACCTGCGACGGCTTTTGAGAGGTCTTCTCTGGTAGGTTTTTCGCTTGGGCCATCCGAGGAAGATCCCACTCCCAGTGCGGCCTTCACCTTCTTTCGCTTTGACTTCTTCTTTTTGCCAGTAGCGGGTGTGCCAGTTGCGCCGGTGGTTGTTTCGTCATTGTCTTCTTCATTTTCGGATTCGACTTGTGCTTGGGTTGCAGAAGTTTCTTCGGGGGTATTTTCAGATGCAATTTCTTTGCCCTTAGGTTCGAGGGGTGTAGAATCTGCCATTTTTTTTGGTTAATGTATAGGGAAAAAATAGGGATGTAATATTGGATAGGAATAGGAATGTAAGGTGTTCTCAAATTTGGAAGTGGGAAGCTTGTTGGGCGGGGCGGGGTTATGACGCTAAAATTTGATTTAAGACAAAAAGCCTGTGGAGTCCAAATTGGGCAATTCAAATGGCCCACTAAGGACGAAAGGGGAAGCGGTGAAGCAATTTTATATTTTACCATATCTACTCGTGCTACTCAGTTCATCTGGGCACACCTATTTACCTAGCAGTATTCATCTACATTACCTACATAGGCACTATATATACCATTACTGTATTATATACCAAATACGTGAAAGAAATAAACTGTTGGGCAGAGTGAGTGTTAAAAGCAATTTATTATAGTGTCATGTTCTCAAAATGAAAAACATTTATTTGTCCTCCTGACTCCTTCTATTTTATACCTGGGAACTTATATATACAGCAAATTTATATACACAAATGGCACTCGAATGGCACTAGAGTGGTACATTGTTCGTACCTTTATCACTAACGGCTTTCTCATCATGGTATTACCCCTCCGTTGTCGAGACCAAATGCTTTAAACTATAGCATCGGGAAGTCAGTAGTGGCCTGCTTTAAATGTGTAAAAGAGCTATGAATCAAATGAGGAGAGTGAATAAAGCGCCCAAACAAAGCCAGACTCTCAAAAGGGGGGTCTTGAGGATATAATGTATCGAATCTGTTCAGAAAGTGAAGAGGGATATCATAAACATTAAAAAGTTGTGGAGCGCAAAAGGAAAAGAACTGATTAAGCTTACAACTGCTAAGGATAGAGGCGCATAGGTGAGAACCGTACTATGAGCTAGAATCCAGTTAGCAAGAACGTAAAATTACCTCCCTGGTCATCTATGTTTACTTACCTCCATGTGCGACTATTTCTTGTCGAATGATCTTATCACTTCCAGTCTTCCAAGTCGAAATGAAAGCACCATCACCCATATCAACGGTATTCCGCGCTTTCATCTTCTCCAACAAGTCCATGGCTATCCCACTTTCCATAGTACCATTTGCAGCAGCAGCAAACAATCCTTGTGAATGATACCATGGAATCTCGTAATCATCTAAAGCATGAATAATAAATAATCGCACCCGCTTACTGATTTTCACAAAATTCGTAAGGCGTGAGGTGGAGGGCCATTTGTCGTTCACATAGCTGATGAAGAGCTTCTGCAGCGCAGGGTATGGACGCAACGGCGACAGCACTGGTATCCAGCCGGCGATGGAGTAGCTGGTCAGTAAGTTTGAAATATCTGTAAACCCGGCGACAAGTACAACACCTGCAAATTCGATTTTTTGCACGGCAAAATGTTCTATGACGCCACAAGCAACTGCTGTTCCTAAACTCTGACCTAGAATCACAATTCGAGATGACGGAATTTTGGCACTGTTCATAGCCCACTCGACTGCCGAGATACCATCTAAGATGAGTCCTTCCTCGGTAGGGAAACCAGTTGAGCGGCCAAATCCACGATAATCAATGGCTAAAATGTGAATATCTGAGGTGCTTCCGTCAGGTATCGCCCGATATGAAGCTGTTCGTTCTCCCTGAGCCACGTTTCCAAATGTCTGTCTTACAATCAGCTGATAGGCTCACATATCAGAAAGAAACCATTCATACCCCGTGAACTTTCATCGTTAGCGCATAGAAGATAGATTATTTGGACAAGACTTACAATTGATAATAAGCCGAGCGTTTGGGTCATCTCTCAATAGTTCGAATCCCTTCCTGTGACTTATATCATTCACGAACCCCGACGGTTGCTTCAATATCTCCGATTCATGCTTAGCATAAAGGCCAAGGGGCATTACATGCCACGCGTAGATAGTCTCCCCATCCACAGTACTGAAATTGAATGGCGTCACCTGATTCTCTATGCTAAAATTCAGCAATGGAGGATATGTATGTGGCCGATACTACTGACTAGCGAAGCCAAACTTTTCTGGCTTATCTATGTCTGTTGCCCAGGCCTGTGGCAGATGTAACTTGTGCACGTACATCACACTTGAAGTATGAGCAAAAGGACATGTGTATTATTGAATTGGAATGTGTCACTTACTGTCTTTGCAGCCATGGATTTGTCAAGGCAAGCAATGCTAAAGCATAAAACGAAATTCCAAGAAAAAGAGTAAGGTATGCTTTCTTGAAGATAGGCGCCAGGGGAGCCATGCTGTGAACGACAAAGTCTTAAGACAGGAAAAGCTAGAGAAAAGAGTCAAGAAGGTCAGACTGGTTTCATGAAGAGAAGTTATCACATAATTTGCCGTAAACATTTTGGGAGAGAATACTGAGTATATATCAACATGTTGCCCCTCAGCCGCGCGCGGATATATCAGTGATAGAAGAAGATTACGAATAGATACCTAGATTTCCATGGAGTGAACTATAAAATCCGATGAAAAACAAGGAATTGATCATGGACCACCGGTATCTATGAATCACGTAGCTTTGGTACTACAGATACCTACCTAGGTAGATATAGATATGTGCTTGTGGGTGTGTCCGGAGTACGGATGATAACATCGATAGAATGGATAGAAAAAAAAGATCTTACAAGATCTTCCTGTGAAGCTTCAATGATCCTTCTTCTTGTCGATGAATTCCTCTTCATTAACTTTCAACTATGATCTTTAAGTAATAGGAATCCCCAAAGTCGTCGTAGTCTAACTGAAGTTGTACTGGCTGCAAAGTGTAGGTTGTAGGATCACTCGGTTGTTTGACTGAAAGAAGAGAAATCCCAAAGTTTGATGTTCCAGGGCGCTGCTTATGATCTGAACGAACCACACCACCACATTCATCACTCTCGCCGCGCTTCACTTTATTTCACTTCACTTCACACTTCACGACTTTACTTATTACTACAACCTCGACTCAACCTTCTTTAATTACTTCTTCCACCACAAAAATTTTGTAAGACGCGTATTCAAATAAATCGATTATTGTAACAAAAAGCTGAACGCTCCAAGATTTCTCTCAAATAAGCAAAAAATCATGGAAAGAAAGAGAAAATTACCTGCGAGGTCTTCTCGTGGAGGAGAGCCTGCGAACAAAAAACGAACTGCTACTCCTCCAGATCGATCAATTTCAGCAACTCCACAACCACCCATTGAAGAAACTCTTCCAAAGAGCATTGTTGCCGGTATGCCTTTGCCTACTGTCGATGAGCCCCAATCCGACAATCTTTCTTCTAAAGATTTTCAAACAATTTCCGAAAGGTAAGTTTTCTACTTGATGCCCAGTTTATTGAAGCTGGTACCAACATTTTTACAGCGGAGTTCTTGCGGAATCACTACAAAGATCACGACAGAAATGGGTCAGCGAAGGTATATTTGAGAAGTATTGGACGAAACCGACAAAGAAGAAGGGTGTTCCTGCAGAACCTCTGAACAATCCGGGAAAGGATACGATGACGAAGCTTGGAACATGCCAAATCACCATCGAACCTCATGTATTCGATGCTACTATGTATGCTATTAAGGAGCCAAAGTCTGCCTTTCAATCTACTCAGCAACAACAAATGTATCGCCCAATCATTCAATATGGCCCTCCGAATGGAGTTATGCCACCTCTTGCTCCCACACAAGCACCAAGTCCAGTACAACAAAAACCAATCCAGACAACACCACCAACAGTACAAACTATGCCTCCAAACCACCCTGCGCCGACCGCCCCAATGATTATGAATCCTCCTCCTCCTGCGCAAGCACCGCCGATGAGTAGCGCTCCAATGAATGGACAACCCCCTGCACAGGGTCCAAACAACCCGAATACCAATTTATCTCAACCGATTAGCACAGTCCAACCAGCCCAGCCAGCCCAGCCAAACAAGAGTACAGATCCTGTTATTCAAATGTTAGCAGAGAGAGCTGCGACCGATCAGCAGTTGAAGGGCTTAATGAGAATCGTGGCAAATGGTGAAGCAACATCTTCTGAACTGAGACAGTTTCAAAATCACATTGATGAGTTGAATGCGATATCAAAGGCACGCCAAAAGTCTGCTGCTCAATCCGCCGCCCAACCACCCATGAATGCCAACTCGCAACCACCACCACCACCGCCGTCTACAACTCAACTTGGTGGACCACCAAATGCACCAGTCGCTAAACCTGTTCCACCACCGGCACCCGCTCCTATTAGCGCACCACCTCAGCAACCTCAGGCTCTTCGATCGAAAGGTCCTGTAGCTCCACCTAAGCCAGATATTTCTGGTGTTGTGTTCGAGTTCAATGGAGGTAACGGTGATCGCTACCTTTTCCCGAAATACAGCATCCTTGACTATCTTCCCGGTGGCCAAGTCATAGCCTCATTCCTCATTGTCCGTAAAGGTAGTAGCAGCGATTCCACTTCGTACGACCCGGAGCTCGATTATTACCAGCCAGTTACCATTCGTCTCTATACCCACCAAGGCAAACAACTCGACTCGTTACAAAAGGTCGTTGCTTCCCCGGACGAAGTCCGTAGATATATGGAGGATATCATGGATAACACGACAAGAGCCGAATATGTTCTATTGGCCATGCGTCTGCCTAAGGACACTGAACCCGAAAAGGAAGGTACACCTACAAATTCTTCAGATCAGCCAGAATCGGACGCCAACAACTCTAATTTACCACTCTGGCAAACTACAAATGGACCACCACCGCCACCAGTAGCAAAGCTACCAAGAAAAATTCTCACGGAAGAGGAAAAATATCAATCTTTCATTAAATCAGTCAGTTCTACTTGAATGTGTCTTTAGAATAGGCAAGATATCTTCATTTGTTTGTATTACTATAATGGGAGGGCGCAATAATACGGGATGAAACGGAAACATGGATGGATTAGGACACTGGAAAATGGTGGGGAAAGATGGAGATACTCAAAAGACATTTTTACAAAATGATGGGAGGCAAACAGGGGGCTGGATGGGATGGCGTATCAAGGCATAGGAAAGCCCATTTACTTATATCTTGGGTAAAAGATATCTTTTCATTCACGGTCTAACTTATATTGATTTAATGCACTGAGGTATGATATTTGAAGGTTGAGGAAATCATTATGAATAGCTGGTGTTAAATGTATTCTAGGTTGAAAGATGATGGGCAGGTGACCAAATTAGGCGACTAAATTAGGGGAGATAATACAACTATGCGGGCTGTGAAGCCCTTCTGTTACCATGGGAGTTCGATGTATGGTTGTCTCCACTCTCCTTCGCTTACCCCAATATGTTAAAAAATCATATGTTTGAGATGTATCATTATGTCCTCGCTTCCCTCATTTATTTCTCTCCTTTGCTTTCTTCACGTCAATCAAACCCTGATTATCCACATCCACTCACGCCTCAATACCTCCCATCTTGCAAGCGCAAAAGCTAAACCGGACAAGAAAAGGACGAACCCGAAAAAGGAAATGAACAGGGAAGAAGCCACTCGGGAGAGTATAATGGAAGCGAGAGGGACACTCAGGAAACATCTATTTTGAGGGCGTCAACTTCTCGTGAACTTAGATGGGAGAGATATCGAAGCGATAGCAAGTTACGAAAGGGAGAGGAAGAGGAAAACATACGCAATGGCGACTCCCACCTGGCTGGCGCCCCACCACCTCGCATACACGTGCGACGGACACAGCGCGGCTATACAAAGAGGGGCTGCGCTCATGACGGCGCCGGAACCGAGGCCGGAGAGAGATGCGTAGAGGTAGAAGAGGATGAGGGATGTGGAGGAGGCGCTAGTGGGGAGAAGAGAAGTAGGAAGGAAGAAAGCGAAGTTTGCCAGGAGCGAAATGAAGATTAGACAGAGGAGGACGGTATTGTGGGGGCCGAGGTGGTCGGAGAGCGGGCCGGAGAGGAGACGTCCGAGGATGGAGCCGCTGGGTCTTGGGGTCAGTTGTGGGTATTTTTCACTTTTGCGGGAGTGGAATGTTGAGGTGATTAGGGGAAGTGAAGAGGTGAGACTAACGCGTTTACAATCGCGACAACGTTGAAAGAAACAGAGGTTGAGAATCCCTGTTGCAATGCGTATGTGGGGAGGAGACCTATGGCCCCTACGAGTACGAATTCGAAGACTTGAACAAGGCATTGTTAGAATAGGAAAAAGACATTAGGGCAGATGCAAATGAAGGTGAGCACTTACGCGCGATACCTGCCATACACCAGAGAAACCTTCTATCGCGTAATAAACTCCAATCTCCCTCGACCTTTTTCTCGTGCCAGAACTTCCACCACGAAGCTTGATTTCTAGTATTGGTCGAAGCCGTACTGACATTACAATCATCATCCTGCCCCCGGTGTCCATACTCATTCCGAATCCCCCTTTCTCGCAACCCCCCACAAGGCAAGAAAGCCAAAAATCCCACTGCAACCAGCACTCCCACACTCCCAGCCACGATTCTCATAGCATCGCCCCAGTCCAAGCTTTCTAGAACAGCTTGAAATACAAATGTAAAGATGATTCCACCGGTCGGATTCCCCACTAACGCAATACCTGTCGCTAGTCCTCTGTAGCCTGTTCCTTCAAAGGTGTTTAACATCGCGTTCGCTACCGTGCAGAGGAGCGCCATTCCTATGGCACTCAGAACCCCATATACCAGGAGAAAATGAAAGAGAGAAGAGCATATGGAGAGGAGGAGCAGGGAGAGAATGTATATGAGAGAGCCTGGGATTAGCAGAGGAAGAGGGCCGTAAGTATCGTATATGGGGCCAAGAGGGAAGAACAGGAGTAATGTGAAGAGAATATTGAGAGCGGGAATGAGGGAGAGAATCGGGAGTGGGGTATTGGGCAGGAGGTGTACAGATAGGTGTGAAAGGAGGATGCCGGTGCTGTTGTAGAAACCCCATGTTGAAAGGGTGAGGGTGAAAGAGGAGATGATTGTTAAGATAGGGTTGAATGAGGGATAGTGAGCTCTACATGAGAGTGTTGGCGATACAACAGTGATACCTTTTTCCGGGTCATTCGTACTTGTTAATGGAGGTTCTGGAGATTTGATGGGTGGATCGATAGCTTCGACAGCGATAATTGGAAAAGATCTGGAGGGTTTCGATACTGCCATTGTCCCAATTCTCCACATTGAATGTCTCTCTGAGCTTTTGATGAAATGTCCCAGAATTCAAACGACTCTTAAAGGTAATTCTGTGAACAAAGTACCACGCGCTAGGATTGTAACATTTCAATCAACAAAACAGAAATAACAGTCACAGGCTGAACACACAATATACAAGTATGCACAATCACAACAAGCCGCGACAACCGCCATCTGTATTCATAATATGCAGTACAACATCGCATACATGTACACTTCATCTGCTGCGCTTGCTTTACTTACTTTTTGCATACCTGCTCTCTTGTATGCACATGAGGAGGCAAAAAGAGTCAAGGGGCAGCATGAAATAGGACAATATCTCCGGGGAGAAAGTGCTTTATGCAAGCACGACATGTGTGCATAGTACGTATGTAAGAAATGCGGCCCAGGAACCAACGCATGCGCCTAGCCTTGCCGGTATGGCATCTGGGCGCCTACCAGGAACGAGAGAAATATGGAGAAGGCGGCCGTTTGCATGCACCGCATTGAACGGAACAACGCGCCGTAAAATTACGGGTTATTTTTTGAAAACGACAATTCGGAAAGAAACTCGATTGTACGGAGTGAAGTTGTTGACTGTTTTTGATACCGAGTTTGCGCTGCCCGAGTGTGGAATTTTTGACAATTCAAAACCACGGCAATTTTGTTCAAAACTTGACAGGGCCGAGCTTGAGGTTGCGATTGATGGTTGGATGAAGCCTGCATCAAGATAGTATGCAATAAAGTTTTAATAAAGTCAATACTCGTTCTCTAGACCGCTCTTTGCCACCTCTTTCCTTTTGGCAGTTAACAGAAAGTAGGGCGTTGTCCGCACCTTGTGAGGATCAAACGATTGGTTATAAAGTACAACTTTCTGATATTAGAACTTTGTTTGTATGTTAAACGTGACATTCTTGAAAGTTGTGGTGGACGAGTGGACATCACCTCAATGTAAAATACCACCCAATGGTCCAAGTAAGTATGCATCACCCTAACAAATCTGCGCTATGGAGACTCTCAAATATCAAACCAAATCCTTCAATCACGTACTTGGACCCAAATTTAAGCAATACCTCACGTTTACTCCCCAAAGAAATTTCGAGGATCGAGAGCCTTTACATCCACACCTTCGAGCTCATCTCTCATCACCATTCCAGCAAGAATCTTTCCAGTTCCTTGGGAATTTTGCACTCCCCACTCATCGTGTCCAGTCGCTATCCATAGTCCTGTTACACCTGGAACACCCCCCACGATTGGGCCTACCGCTTCTCCCTCTGCATGTTTTTGAATTTGGGGCCTGAAGCATGCTTGGCCCAGCACGAATTCACCATTTTCAATTTCTGGGGAAATTGTCGACGCAGCGTTTCTTATACTCGCAATCATATTTGGGTCCACTAGGACTTTGTTTGTACTTTCTGGTAGTTGTGGATAATCGCTAGGGCCACACATATAAACAATCTCTTCGGGGTCAAATGGCGGGCCGGGACGAGGGTAAATTTCTATGTTGTCTATGATGGTTTCCTTGTCATTCCATTGCATGGAGTGATTCTCCTTATACTCTGGGGATTCTTTCGAGATTGGCGGGTCAAAAATTGGGAATAAAACGTAAGGACTTAATGATTTTGAAGGTTTCATCAAGATACTATAACTCCTAACGCCATATACTGGAATACGAGGAAGCAATTTAGGTGACCAGGGACCAGCTGCAATGATTGTATCAGTTGCATGGATTTGCATCTTAGTTCCATGTTCACTATACTCGACGGAATGGACTGCTTCTCTGTTCGAAGAATAATTAATCGATGTAGCGGGTGCTATGATGACCTTCAGACCTTTAGCCTGTGCGAGGTTTAAGAGATAGTTGGTGAGGGACTTTGGATGAAGTTGAGCAGTATCGTCTGGTTTGCCAATCTCGGAGAATGCTTTGATGCCAGACCTATTAATCCACTTCAATGTTCCAAAGCGATCGATACTTTCAATCGCCGAAGTATTGTTTCGAGTATCAAAGGCCATATCAGCACAGTGAACACGACGATAACCCCAACATAAACTTCCCTTATACATTTCAGCGAGCTCCATGTGCAATTTGAAACTAAGGGGGGCGAGACAAGAGGGTGTTGCCCATGATGCTAATAAGCCTGGTTGGATTTAGAACATAGTTCAGAATATGATCCAAGTTCCCGGGGACCATTGCACTTTCGTGCGTGGAGTTCAAATCCTGTACCACTAACTTCCAGCTTTCCCAGAGGATCCCCCGGCTATTTCTGTAGCTTCTAGAATTGTAATGATATGAATAGAGGGATCATACAGCCGGTGTTGAGTTAGCCAGTAAGCTGTAGAAACACCAATGATACCACCACCTAATTCACGTTAGGAAGAGACCTAAGAAAGACCAGCTGAAAGTACCTATAATAACAATGTTTTTGGCATCTTGTCCAATGTCACCCATCTTGATAATCTGAAAGAATGGTTGTGAAGGGATTCCAAGTTCTTGCCAAGACAGCGAAGAAGTTTTCAAGGAATGTGTCTTTTGGAAGTCAGAAGTTGATGGGGGGATCTTGTATAACATAATATATCTTATATATTAGCTAACAACTTTGAATGAATGGTACCAAGATCCTCGAATGGATCAATCTCCATACAATCAATACTCGTCGTATCATTCCAAGCCAAACAAAGCAGGTGACTTGAAGGCATTCCCTGTACTTGCAGAATGAGGTTCAACGTATGATTCGACAATGAATCAAATTTGAAACTCTCTGCTACTGCCCGCATCGAATTTCCATGGCTTGGGTGGTACAATGGAGTAATACCTTCCTTTTCAAACAGAAGCTGCGTCTTATTACAAGTGAAGGGTTCTGTTCTGTCAAGTAAAACCCCAAGGCGGTCAAATCAATGGCAGAATTGTCGCACTACGCATGCGCGATGAACAAAGTAAATTGCACACTAATTAAGCAAAACCTTATATTCAATGTTTTAATCCAAATTTGATAATCAAATGCGTTCAATGTTCCAATTCGAATCCAACAATTGAATCCTTTTCATGTTCCAAGTTAGATTAGAGATTCGAATACGTTTGATGTTCCAAGTCACTTGAGATATTCAAATACATCTCTGACAAAACCATTCTGGTGTGGTTTACGTTGTCCACATGGAGCCTACCGTCACTGTTTTGCTCTTTACACCTCCTCACTATGGCTTTAGTTATGTCAATATCGAGACAGAAGCATATTGAAGTTAAAGTTACTGTAGCACCACATGCAGACTGACAAGAGACTGCTATTGACAGTACCCTGGGCTACCCCTAAAGAAAGGGCAATTTCCATCCATCTCCAGTCCAACAATTCGAAAGTTCGATATTGCTAGGAGTTCGCGAGCAAAGAAAGGCAGTCGATGATGTCAAATTTGGTGCTGTGACAATCTTAGTGATCTTAATTCCTTTGGCGCAATAGTATCGCGCATGGATATCTCGTCCTTTGAGATGCTACCCAAAAGCGACAGTATCTGAACGGCCAGGTCTCACGTTTTCGCAGGAAACATTTAGTCTCAAACGAAAAAGGCGGCGCCACATTCTCAACTTTTTAAGACACTCTAAACTTGCCAAGAGAACGTTGAGATTTTGGTGTGTTCACATATGGTCGATCTAAATCGCATTATATATTTCATTTCGTTTTCAGCACTTAGGTCACCTGCATTTCCTATCAACGTCGACGCAAACACTTTTGAATAGATTTCTTTATTTGATTTTCTTTATTTTTTGTTCAAAATCTCCTCGCAAAAAATTCCCCGTGGGATCTCGAGCACCTTCTTCTAAGCACATATACCTTCAAACACAATGGCAGAGAAAATTATACAACTAGAGCCGACGATGGAACAACAACCACTTGCTATTCCGCAAGACCAACAGCCTCAGGAGCAACAGCCGCCACAATCGAGCTATTCTAGCCCTGACGTCGTTGAGCAGTCAGAATGGTCAAATAGTGTCTGGAATTGCTTCTCTCCAAGCTCACTTTGTACTTAACCCCCCATCCCGCACTTTTGACTGTTCCAACCAAACTAATGCTCTCGAATCTCCAGGTCTCAAAGCGTTCTTCTGTCCATGTTTTGTTTATGGCAAGACTCAATATCGGATGAACAAAGATCCCAATCTCACGGGATATTCACGATTTAATAATGACGTATGTCGTTATATGACAAATGGTTAGTTTCATACAAGCTGACTTCTGATAGTGTTTTATATGGGCGGGGGCTCAATGGTGCGGTCTAGGAGCCATATTCACCATTCTTCAACGTCGCCAGATTCGAACAGAATATGGGATTGGAAAAGCAGGAGAGGGAGAGATTAAGGACATAGCTTTGAGTTGGTGTTGTCATTGTTGTGTTCTGATGCAACAGGAGAAGGAAGTCATTATGAGAAACCAGGGTAGTGATGTTTTTTCACAGGGTTATCAGAGGACGGAACCAATGGCGATGGCACAAACCGATTGATGATAGAGGGGCTCTGGCAGGACGGCAAAATTGGGATACCAAATCATTCAAATGAAATCATGCATTGAAAACACTTATAATCTAACACCTTATAATAATTTCAATTTCAATTTCAATCCAAAAAATGTATGATATGGTGCACATAAATATGGATAGATCTAACTCTTGTAAGTCATTTCTTAACCTTTGACTCAAAATAATGAATTTCTAATTTGACATCGACTGTTGAAAAAGTACCTATTTTCGATGGCCCATATTTTTCGTCCTGCTGGAGACTGGCAGTCGAAGTTTGGATGGTGAAAAGGGTGACTCGGTCAGATTGTGATACTTGAAATAGAAACACATATTAAGGAGCACGATGATACCCATCCGATTCTGTTACTGCTTCTCTCAATATCGAGTGTAAATTTGATAATCCGCAATCACTAGCACGCTTCTCTTCTTGGTATCAATTCCCCTCCCAGACTACAATCCTAAACGCCCTAACATCAATCCACACCCATCCCCTCCCTAGCAATCCTTCCAACCTCCTCACTCAAACTCCCCTCTTCCTCTTACCTTTCCCGGCCTCCACCTCTTTACCTTCTACCCCATCCCCTATCCTCTCAATCCTCTTACTCAAAATAACATAATCACTCTCCAACACCTTCCCCCCCTTCAATTTCTTCGGCTCCGGACTATACTCATCCTTCTCATATCCAAGCTTCCTATAGAAATTCAACGCCGCTTCATTAGCCGTGTAACATGTTAACATTGTTTTTTCGACACCGGGAATGGCGCGCGCAATGTTGGTAAGGAGAGACATTAAATGGGCGCCCAGGCCTGTGCTGTGAGGGTGTTAGTATCTTACTGAATAGGAACATGATAGAGAGGATGTAAGTATCAGAAAGAGTGAGACGAACCCGCGTAATTCATCCACTAAATGTATCTCATAAAGATAAACCACTTTGATGCCATCTTCAAACGTAGGCATAAAACTCATGAATCCCTTGATCTCTCCTTCGCCTTCGCCTTCGCCTTCTCCTTCTCCTTCCTCTCCACATTCTTCCACGGTTATCTCCTCTTCAACTTCCTTAGAATCTTCATGATTTCCCTCTCCCTCTCCATTCCCACCCTCACCCTCATCCTCATCATCCTCCCACCCTCCCTCTCCCTCTCCCCCACAAATCCCAGCACCCACCTCCCTCACAACCAAATACCTCAAATCCCACAACTCCATTTCCTTCCTCTTCCTCCTCCCATTCCACCCGCCTCTACTCTCCCTATAATGCTTCCCGGACGTCTTCTCAACCAACTCCAAACAAGCCGTTAAATCTTCCCGACGTAGCGTACTAGGTTTATACAAACCTAGTTTATAAGATTTCACCGCTTCATCTTCAGATTTAGGTGACGTATTATAGAGGGCATATGAAGATCTAGCAGCTGTCAAAATAATAAAACCTAATAGGCGAAATAATTAAGAAAGGAGAAAATATACCGAGGAGGCATGTAATCACGTTCAAAATCCTCGAGAGGTTTCGCGCACGCGATTGTGATGGAATCCTGGGTAGACATTTTTGCTCTTTTTAAACATCCGTAAATTGAAATCTGTGATATATTATCTATGATCAAGAATCAAAACCCCATTGCAACAGAATTTCTTCAAGTGATAAACTCGTTTCTTATTCGAGTTCACCATCCAGCAAACGCGTCTAGAAGTTCTAGACAATCTGCCCCGCGACGCGAAATCCCGCCCCGCCCCACCATCCACCCATCCATCCATCTTCATCTAATGATCGAGGTCATTCTTTCTTTCCACAAATTTATATCTCAACCCCTCCAATTCCCTCCAATTCCTCATCATATACCCAAACCCTAGTATATCAACACAAAATGCACACTCCCCCATTACGAACCTATATTCGTCTCAGCAACATCACGCGCACAATTCGTTCCCATTCATCCGCCAAACCCCGGCGGCCATCGAGTAAACTCGGTCCTACCGTGTCACTGGATCATGTATGTCCCATTCTCTACCTGGATAGGTGAACAAGAGGAGAGTTTAATAAAGAGATAGTTTCTCCAGAGATCCAAGGCTCTTTCACTCTATAGACGGATTCTCCGGGATTGTCGACGGATTCCCGATGTGGGGTCTCGGGACGAGACGAGGAGGTTTGTGAGGGATGATTTTGAGAGGAATAGGGGAGTGACGGATCTGGTGGGTTTAGTTTCTTCTTGTTTGGTTGGGAGAGGCGTTGAGTCAGTCTCGAGATTGGGAAAATTGGAAGAGTACAGTTCGATGTGAAGTGGCAATGAAAGCTAACAAATGCATGGGGGTGCAGAGCCAAATCAAGTATTTAATTGGTACAGGTAAAACGCAGTGGGAAGGGATGGAAAGGTATATTACTGGCATATGATGTATTATCTGGATTGTAGGAAAGTGATTTATGGTGGGAAAAAGGTTGTATATATACATGCATTGGTATGGAGTAGCTATGGAGTACGGGGTACTGGAAAATAATCATTGAGGTTTTTAGATGGCGTGGGCAAACTTCTATTGTGGGCGTAAAGAGCATGTAAATCCTCACAAGGCCCTGTATATTCATTTGCCTGGCTTGTGGATTTTATCTGTTTGTATTCTTTTCTGATCATGTATGTGCGGAGGTGATTCTTTGCACTGCCAACATATCGCTATTTCCCCCAACGCCATACCCACTGTCTAGTGCGTACTCTTTATACAGAGTGATACACATATCGTACATCTCACTCCTCGTGGCTCTTTCGTCAGAAGCTCAAAATCCTCATGGTTGTGCGCAACCCGCAATTCCGCAAAGTATTCGATTGAAGTTTCTCGTTCTCTGCTCTCCAACCTGGTATTTCGCATCCCGTATGGATTCAATCATCTATTTTCCTTGCCTCTGCTTGTGCTTAGGATTCAAGGAACAAATGATATAAACATGTCCTTTCCCTGATTTTCCACCCTTTCTTCTGACGCTCTGTAGTGTTACCATGTTAGCATTCACACATCTGGTCCCTCACAGTCGGAAATCTTGAAAAACATCCCCCAAGCAATTTCTTCGCTGTCGTATTGAATTCCACCACTCCCAATCCCCGCACAAATCCCAAGCCTCTTCTCCCAGAAATAAACACAAAACATACCTTGCACCCCTCACACAACTTCTTCACCGAACTCCTAACCTTCATGCCCCTGACTTGTTCTGCCCCCTTTCCACTCGCGCCCAAACTCGCACTCTCCTTCACCCTCTCCATCAAAGCCAATGTTGGTCTCTTCGCCATCTGCATCGAAGCAAAACATCTTGCGCCAGCCAATTGTGTACTTTGAACTCGCGCAAAAGCCGGGAAAACCATGCGCGCTGTGCGAAGAAACATTGTCGAGGGTATCATCTTGTTGATTCTGGGGTGGATTTGATATATCGAGAGGTATCCGCTGACCAAATTGCTTGTTATTGCGTTCTGGAGTGGAGTGGACTGATATCGCAATGGAGGGACTGAGGATTTTGGAATGACGCTAGTGCACGGCCGTTTTCCATGGATATTACTCCCGGTGAGCTTACTCTCTTCTAGAGGTAAGAATTGATCGAGTTGAACCGAAAAGCATGTTTACAAATAATTTCTCAAAGCAATTTCAAACATTTTAAAGTCAAACTTCTTGAACATTCGAAAGTGTGAAATTAGTACTAAGCAAGAATCAGCATTTAAACAGAACGTTCCGAGTCTCGGCGAGCAAAATTATTTAGTTGTCTGTCTATTCGACTAATGTACACCAGACGACAACTACAAAAATTTCCCAAACCACTCCACCAAAACCCCATAAGCCCTCTCATATTCCCTCCTCTTCACCTCATCCTCCAGATCGGCCCTCGCACTCAAAAATCCATGTACCTGATCCTTAAACGTCTCAACATGTTTCTCCACCTTCAACTCTTTCTCATAAGCATCCATATCTTTCCTTTCCTCCTCCGACGCTAACACCACGTGAGGAATCGTAATCTTCCCCGCGTCTTCTACATCCATCATACCGGGATGCAGCTGAGCTGATACTTTCCATGGACTTTCTGGACCGGATGTGATGGCGATGACTTTCCCGCCCCAGCAGTACTATATCATCAAGTCAGTTCTTGATTGTATCAGGAAAATACTGAGATGACATCAAAAGAAGAAACATACCCCCACAGCACCCCAACTTTTCTCTCCATATTTCTCTTCAATATTCCTCAAGATACTCGGAATTCTCTCAATTGCAATATTTGGTTTCCTCGGAGCAAACCAATCCATGAGTGATTTCATTTGTTCGTCAGTCACAGGCGGATACCTAAAACCCCCATGAACATTTCTATTCCCACAATGGCAAACACCAAAGCCCACTCACCACTCAATCTTCGCTGGTTCTCCTTCAAAGAAATCCGGCATGAAGACTTGATATCCCTCGCCCGATCCTTGAGCTAGGATATCTGCTCCTTGAATGGTTTGTGGATAGTATCCAAAGATATCGTAGATGACCAGTATGGCTTTCTTCGCAGATGGCGACCCAGAAACATCTTGGGGTTTATCAATAGCTGCAGTGTATCCCTGTTGAATCGGAGCGATACTCACAAGTTTTCAGACCGCCAATAGTTTCGTAGGTACCTTTAGGAGTGTATCCTTTTGAAACGACCGGTGGGATGTTGCAGCATCCGGCGCTGTGGCCGTCGATCGATTGCATGGTTATTTAACGAATGAGAATGGAAGAAGCTAGATTGTATTTTTTGGAAAATGCCATCTACAGCCTTATATTTATAAGTTACTCGCGATTGGAATCACGGGACAGCTCGTACGTACAACATTGTTGAGGTGGAGTTCGCTGACATGAAGATATTGACGTGGTGAGTAAGACTGAAGTGTGATGGACAAAGGTGGGGTGGAACCACGAAACCATTCCCTTTTTCCAGACGAATTGTGGTTACAGTTCACGTTGCTGTTGAGGAAATACAATAGCGAAAACCAAAGAAGAAAGAAGATCGAGACGGAAGACAGCAAGATCATACTCAGCAGAGCGATCGGAGGATGGATAAATGATAGATATTACAAAAATCTATATCTCTCTTGATAACGAGCTACATAGTTTCAAATACAGAGATATCGAATATAAATCATCCTCCCCTTTTCTCATGCTACTCCAACAACATACCTACTATATACAAAGTCCAGCTTTCGCATCAACACAATCTAAACAAGGGTATCCACCAATCTTAACTGGAATAACAATACTTTGTGAAACAAGCTGTACAAGCGCTTGGAAGGGTCTGTCCAGTCTTCTCCATAAACGCACAACCTAAACAAGTAGGCCATTCAGCATCATTGCCCTGAGTTGCAACTTCCACACCATTTGCAATGATTCCCGAGGAAGTGGCCGCTGGATAGATCAATTGGGCAGTCGAGACATTGCTAGCAAATGTGTATGGTGCATTTGGGAGGTAGACGATTGTTATTTTGCTTGTATCGCCGCATCCAAAAAATGTAGCTCGCTTATTGTAGCCCTTGGCGACAAAAGTCTCGACGGAAGGAATGACTGGCATGCGCGTGAGACCGGCTGACAGAGATTGTACGTACGTGGTAAGAATTTCGGATCCGTTGGGCCAGTTGGTTGCATCGTCTGCACTGTTATCATTCACGATAATAGCAGATATGTTTCTGTCCGGCTGCAGGAACGGGAAGATGGGGTTGTTTTGCAGGGCTTCTCCACCATCGACCAAGCTTAATGTGTCCTGGGCCGGAACATTGTTTGCAGAGTTAACCACGCCTGTGGATGAGTCGTATTCGTAGAAAGGATTTTTATAGATAGCATATAAATCTTCGGTGGTTACCTCGTGCACGCCGTCAAGAAATGCAGAGATACCTTCAAATGCATTTGAAGAACCATTGACGGGTGCTGGAACGCTGAGACACGCCTCGTTGAACAGACTGCTTGAGGTTCCTAGGATATAGCCCAAGTTGTCGTAATTCGTGGTACATTTCCCAGATGGCACACCATTTTTCAGAGTAGTGCCAAGATATTCAGTTGGCGTGAAAGCAGACACGTCGGCATCCCAGGAACCAAATTCATATGGAGAGAACTCATACATTGTAGCATTAGGACCGGGCGTGCATTGGCCTAGCCATGTCTTCACTCCCCTACTGGTAATGATTGGAAATGGCACTGCATGTGAAGTAAAATTGGAAAGTGTGGCGACCGATGAGAAAGTGGTTGATTCACCATCATTTGCGAGCAATTGATAGCTCAAAAGTCTCCCCCATGGATCAGTGAGAGTAGTGTGGAAGCCTGCTGCATCTTTTTCAAGAAGTTCTCCAACGATTTTGGCGTAAGCTACGACGAATAGTAATCCATCAGGGTCGAAGAGTGATTCTTGAAACGCCTTTTCCCAGAGATTATCTCGCAACCACGAGACTGTTGGATAGTTGTTTCCGGCAAGAGATGAAAGGAACCATGATCCACCCGAAAGACCTGCTTGGTATGTGATAGCTTGGTAGAGACCGCTTGTGGAAACATCACTGTCCCGTGCATCAAGACCTTGAACTACACCGGCGCTCTTTTGGAATAGTTAGTATTGGACTGCTTGAAAAAGATGGCCTAGGAGATATTTCGACGACGCATGGAACGCCGCAGTTCTAAAGAATGTCTTTTCATGAAAACTACTGACCGACAGGAGAGATCGGTAGCCCCCACCACTGTGGGTAAGCGCGATCTGAATAATATTAGTTACCGAAGAAATGAGCCCGAGACAGATATACATACCGTTGGCAAATCATCGGTACCAAATCCCGAGTTTGTTTTCTCCAGCCACTATACATAGAATCAGTCAAAGTTTAATTTCGAGCCAAGAGAAAGAAATAGGGACTCGTAATCTCCTCTCGCCTAAAACATGGCAAGTGGAACCAGGTCTAGGCTTAGGTAAATCAAAAAGATAATGATATTCCGTACCGTTTTCAAAGCGACATCCGCAATAGCTTTTCTCGATACTCTGTAGGATTCCTCATTGTCTGAAAGACCTTTTGCAGGTCTGACAAGTGATACCCCTGAAGGGCATGTCACAGAGGTGGGCGCGTAAGAAGCGCTAACTACGCTACTCCCCGTCAAGAATCCAAGTAGCGAGGATATTGACCAAACCATTGTTGCTTTGAGATCCTAAATCCAAAGTTGGTTTTGAAAAAGTAACTTGAGATATTGGAACTCAGAAAGGTGAACTCGGAGTGCAATAAAGAACGAAAGGAGAAAAGAAAAGCCTCCTTGAATCACCGAATCCAAAT